GGATTGTGCACCTCTACACCACCTCAGATGACTACTGCCTCGGCTTTAACATCCGGGGGGGGAAGGAGTTTGGTCTGGGAATCTACGTCTCTAAGTAGGTGTCTCTGCTGCCCAAACGTTTTCACCAGAGAATCGTTCATGGATCTATCACTCATATTCAGGGGGACTGATATTTGTGCAGATCCAAATACAAACCCTGCTTTCAGCTCATTTTTAGTTTTTGTCTCGTTGTCTCAGACTGGATCCCGGTGGACTGGCTGAGCAGAACGGAATAAAGATGGGGGACCAGATCCTGGCGGCCAACGGCGTGAGCTTTGAGGACATCAGCCACAGCAGCGCGGTGGAGGTGCTGAAGAGCCACACACACGTCATGCTGACCATCAAGGTGAGATTGAGGATGTGCAACCTTTTTTCACAGTCGACACGATGCTCCACCGGGGAGGTTAGGATTTTGTCTGAGTTAGAACTTTCTCTCCTGCCACGCTTTGGCGCCTTCGCACGTTGTGTAGACATTTTGGACAGCACGTAAAAGTAATGACATCATCCCCAGCGAGCGGCGCCAGTGGCCTTTCTGGTACAAAAAGATTGAATGTTCTTATGAGAGATGTCTGTTTGTTTTAATTTCAACTTCCTGGACACGTGGCGCACAAAGAAGTTTGAAAGAAAACAATCTGACGAGCACTCTTGTACCATGAAGTTAATTTCTGTCTTCGTTTGATCTAACAGTTGAAATGAGTTGAATGTGTTGAACAAGTTGTATCACGCTCCATAATGACTTTGTCTTTCATCACGGCCTCTATTCAATGACCCGACATGCGTTAGCTCTCTGACCCGCTCCCCTTCCTCTCCTCTTCACTTCCCCTCACACACGAGAAAACCTGAACACTGACTTCACGCGTCGCTGCACAGTGGCTGGAGCGGCGGCGGTTTGTGTGGCAGGCCCGACAGCTGGCGTGCAGTCGTAATATTCCTCGCTCACTTCACTCGTCGGAGCTTGGGTTTCACACGGAGAAAAATAGCCAGGGCGTGTGCATTATTCACCAGGCGGCCGGGATCAGGTGCTGATCGAAGCGCGGAGCCAGTGTTTCGTGCACGTTACGTTTCGGCATCCCTCGCTGCGCCGCGTGGAAACTGAGCCGGGGGGCCGGAGTTAGAAAGCATCGCAACTGTCAGAGGTTACTAGAAAGTCAGGAAGGGAAACATGCTTGGGAGGAGATGATGGTGTATGATGTGTTCATCTCGAGTTACTCTTTATCAAATACAGTCGTCCCATAAAAGTTTCAAGCTCTCCACTGTATCTCATTTGCATATCTGCGGCCATATCTTGACAGGAAGCAGGACGATACCCTGCTTATAAGGAGATGGTGGCTGAATACAGGTGGCTCAATAAGTGTATGTATCCGTTTCCTTATCTAGAAATCCATTTCTGTTCAGATCAGTTCTCTGTCAGAACCCTGATCGTCTCCGGTTTTCTTCCCCAGTGGCCAACGGTACTCAGAAATCCTCGTCCCAGGGTTCGGACTCCAACTCGTCCGCCTCGTCTCTGTCGTCTGGGACTCCGGTCAGCTCTCTGAGCGGCCTGTCGCAGGTCATGTTCCCCCCCAGCCTGCCGTTTGGCTCAGACATGGTGGACGTCTCCATCTCCACCGAGGACCAGAGGTCAGGGTCCTCTCGTTTTTAGAGTTTATCATCTTGAGGCATCTTAAAAAAAAAAATGTGTACGTGACATTTTGCTTCACTAAGTTGTGAAAGAAGCACGTGTGAACATACAGACGGGATCAGACGTGATCATCGTCGTTGTTATGTCCAGGTTTGAGTCGGAGCGAACTGAGACCGCCATCCAGACGGACCTCCCCTCTCAGAGGACGGGTGCAGACACCACCCGCAGCCTGGGATGCACCACTCTGCTCAAAGACACGATGATCCACGGAGAGGAGGACAGCGGGAGGAAAGAGTCTCCCAAGACGTCCATGCTGCTGGCTCTCAGCAGGCCGAGCCGACCCATCAGCAGGTCGCAGAGCCAAGTCACGGTGGCAGGTGAGGCAGGAGATTTCAAAAAAAACGATGGAGCGGCTGAACGTCAAAAGTGACCTTCTGTTGGTGTCCCGTCGTAGAAATCACGCAGAAGAAAGAGAAGAAGCAGAAAGGGAAGGAGCCAGAGAAGAAGAGCACCCTGCAGCGCTCGAAGACCTTCGTGAACCTGCTGTTCAAGGGCGGGCGCAAGAAGGACGCCTCCAGGGGGCGCTCCAAGTCCCCATCCACAGACAAGACAAGCAAAGGTAGATGGGTCTTTACACTTCATGAAAACATTTTACTGATTATTACTCTCAACTTGTATTAATATGTGATTTACTGTGCTGTAGATACACGATACATTATACCGACGTCCTTCCACTCTTGTTTCCAGAGGGCCGAAAGCTCGGAGCGATGCCAAACCCAGAGATGCTGAGGGTGGTGGAGGACATGGCGCGCAGGCTGCTGCCCGAGGAGGAGGTGGCTGCTGTGATGGCGACGTGCCGGCGGGTAAGAGCATCAGTTCACAGCTGGAGAGAGAAAAAAGGTTTTAGCTGCTGTGGCGACGACCTTTGGACTTTTAGTTAGTTTACAGCTCAAACGTAGTAAAGCGTAGTATCACTTATTGTAAATATTGCTAAATGAAATGTCAAGTATCATTTTAATTATTACGCTTGCAGTACACAGCAGAGCGGTCGGTGGAGAACCTGATACGCCACCTGCTGGCCGTTCTAGACCGGCCGGAAAAGCTGCTGCTGCTGAGGGAGGTCAGGTAAGAACGTAAAAGAGGAATTATTTTAATTATGACATTTTCTTTTATCTTCATTTTATTATTATTATTATTAACAATATGAAAAAATGTCAAATTTCCCAGAATGCTGCTCCCTCCGTCTGACCTGAGTGTTTTCAACAACGTGGTGACTCCTGTTGAAGTCGAGGCGTACGACATCCTCAAGTATCGTTCGGGTGCGTATGATCCACGTCAACTTCCTGTATCTGAGCTGCAGCAGCTTTGCAGTTCTTCACAGTTGCTTTGGTAATATCTGTAAACCAGCATCTCTCTCACCTTTTTCCTCTTTCAGTTCGAACTCCTCCTCTTCGCTCTCCCACGTCTGGTCGAGCTCCCAAACGCCGCCTCATCACTCCCATCCCAGGTCGGTGCCTTTCACCTCCACGACCATATCACCTTCGTGGGTCTGATCTGTTATGGACGCAATCATTAAAATGTGGTTTTCTGCAATATTAAGAATATATATATATTGTTAATTAATTATTTTCACAGTTTCAATAAATAATTCAATTGATGAAAAGAAGGAGGCACATTTAAAGAACTGATATCTATGAGTGTGTGAACTGATTTTAAAGGACCGTTTCTTTTCCCTGCAGATTACCAAGGAGGCTTTGAGCTCCACAGTGCTGCGGAGGTGGAGAAGGAGAGCCATCTACTGGAGGAGCTGGAGAAACTCAGTCTGTCTGGGCCCCCGCGTTCCAAAGAGAGGCCCCACACCTCCATGTCCTTCACGCCGCTGCTGGACATACCGGTGGACGGATATAACGCAGACTCCGGGGAGCTAGGACCCCGCTCAGCCAGCCCCGTGCTCCCCAACTGGCTGCTGGCCCACAACGACGACCCCAGCCCTCGCCTCCGAACAGACATCGGCACCATCCGCTCCGTGCACTTCGACGAGGTGTCGCTTCACTCGGCCTCGGACAGGGCGGACACAGAAAGGGGACGGCCCCCGTTTAGAAACAGCCACCCTAAAGGCCAAAAGGAGAAAAGCGGAGGCCGGGGTAAAGACACCGTGTTCACGCTGCAGAGTGACGCTCGCAGGAGTCGACCGCTGTTGTCGCAGGTGTTTGGTTCGAGTCCAGATCAAGAAGTCGAACAGATGAACGGTCATCGGGCGTCCGCCGAGAACGGACTCAATGGCTCGGACGCTGAACCGGAGTACGAGCTCAAAACTGTCAGCATCTCCAAGACCAAACAGTCACTGGGTAACTGATTCAACTTCTAAGTAACGTCACACTTTAAAGATACTTAAATATATTTACTGTCTCTGCTGTTGTGTTGACGCTGCAGGCATCAGTATATCTGGAGGGATGGAGTCCAAGATTCAGCCGGTGGTGAAGATCGAGAAGATCTTTCCTGGAGGAGCCGCCTCCACCTGTGAAGTGCTCAAGGTTTAATTTGAGACCTTTTCTAGATATTTCATGAAAACACATAAAATCCTATTTAATGCTGATTTCATGATGATACTTGCCAAAGATTATAAACATGATTGTGGAGGTAGTTGGGAGAGCACCTCCACCTCCACCTGCGCAGGTGAGAGCCGTTAGCTGACAGATCCTCAGCAGAGCTCCTCCACAAAGACTATTGTTGTCTCTCTGCGTCCCTCTTTAATGGTCATCGTCTCTGAGCTAACCCCTCCGTCTTGTGTCTCCAGGCTGGATTTGAGTTGGTGTCTGTGGACGGCGTCTCCCTACACGCGGTGACCCACCTGCACGCAGTCGACGTCATCCGAAAAGCCTTCAGCAACAAGGCCAAAGACCCCATGGTGTTTGTCGTCAAAGTCCCCAAAACCGTTCAGCAGGAGAACGAGACACTGGTGGTGAATTTAGATAAAAACGCAGAGGGAGACGGGACACTTGAATTCACTTGAATTTTGTTTAAGTGACGCCACAGATGCTGGTGACTTCCTGAGCCGAGGAGTAACAAAGGAGCTGAAGTAGCAGCTCAGGGGACACGAGGAGAATCGAGACGATGGATTTAGAGGAGGAACAATCAAAGATGCTCCTGATGCCTTTACGTCAAGATGGAGGGTTTCTTTTTACGTTGGACATTGTGTTAACATTCATCAGTGTATGAACGGACACACAAGTCGATGTGTCATGGATCAGCTTTCATTTTTAAATATGCAGGATGACAAACTGTAACCCGAGTGCCTTTAACAGCCCTGTGGACTGAAATCACTGTTTTATATATATATTATATATAAATGATTAAATAATCCAAACTGCCACTGAGGAGGATTACAAACCAGACACTACAGATAAATCTGTAAATAGTTTAACTACATGTACACTTGAACTAAATAAATCCAAGAGTCTTATTTCTGTTATACGGTTAAAAGGTATTAAAACAACCTGGGATTTCAGAATAAGATCACAATATTACAAGAATAAAGTTGTAATATTACAAGAATCAGAATTGACATGTGGATTTAATCTGGTGCAACAAAACAACAACGGTAAAATAAACTCTGGCAGAAGTTGAGTTGAGGAAATGTCCGTGTACGACCAACAGAGATCGAATTTAGTCTTTTTTTAATCAAAACAAGTTTGTTCAATAAATGTACAGCATGAAAATATACATTTAATGTCTTCATACAAATATTGGATTATAAAATTATACTGAGGAAACGGAACAAACATCCACACCAACATGAGGCATCGTATTGGAAAACTGCTTTCTGTCCATTACATCACACTTTTGTAGGACACCCTTTTCAAAATAAAAGCACTCCAGTGTTTCTGTTGACTGAATCTACACATGTGTTTTTTTACAGGTTGATCTGAGCTACTGTGTGAAACTGTTTAGTCAAAACGGTGGTTGTGGAGTTAAAAGTGTTAATATTTCCTGGTTATTGTCTCCATCATTGAATAACAGGAGCTGCAGTGTTTTTCTGTGCAGGAGAGGGTCACTCATCTGTTTTATGGCAAACTGTATTTTTTGCATTGATGTAATTAAGTACCATATTTTCCTATATATTAAAAAAAAAACTGTAGCCAAAAACAGACATTCACTCGACTTTAAACAACAAACTTTCTCAGTCGGCCTTTTTCACAGCAGACGTTTGAACATGTAGGAAAACCACAGATGTAGATATAACCACTGAGGACGGACCTTCACGGAGCTGCTTTGGTTTATGCATCACCCCCTCCTCTGTAGTAGACAGCAAAATAAAATGTCATATTTCTAAATTGTCTTTCATCAACTTTTTGCATAAAAGCCCTATGTATCTTTTACAACAGCGCCCCCTGGAGTGGTGACTCATTCTGTTGTACACGCGACTACATGGTTTCATGTAGAGGTTGGAGGTGAGAATGAAGTACTCAAGAATTCAAAGCCTGATGGATGAAGTACAACGTGTGTATTGTGTGTATAACATACCAACTCCTAACTTCTCCTCGCAGCCTCGGATCCCTCTCAGAATATCCTCACTACTGTTTCACCTGAAATCAGACGGTTCAGTATTGAAGCAGTTGTAGTGAACGGTGAATGGGGGGGGTGATTGGTCCCGGTGAAGCTCGTGCTGAGAAGCCCGGGGCCGTTTTTAGAAACATGTGCTCTCCAAGTCAACACCGGCTGTAAAAAAAAGTCCTATTTATTCTTTAGAACATGAACTACATCACGATGAACAGTATTAACACCTTATCCACATTTTATCATCGGCCACTTTTACACTTAAAGTGATTTCTGACGTCAGACAAGTGTTTGACAAAGATGGATAAGAGGCGACTCGGGCCCTTTGCTGACATGAGCGCTGGACTTGAGGAGTAGTTGTTATTATGGTCAATCCTACCAGACTGTACAGACGATCTTATCTCCACTGGACCTTCTGCGTTAATTTGAGTGTGACAGAACAATTTAGAACATTAGAGTCCAGACCACAAACCAATTCTGTTTATACTGTTTAGACTGTAAATAAAGACGGACGCCATGACAGCTTCCAAAAGCGTTTGTATCTGAGATGGTTTGGTTTGATTTCCGGGCGGTTGGAGGAAGTGGAAACACGTTGTACATCTTTATTTACAGTCTACTCACACGTTTGTCCCAATTTAATAGTCCGTCTTCCTGAAGGGAAGGAAGTTGACGTATCTTGGGATCGTTTCCTTCTCGGAAAATCAAAACAACAGAATTCTCCCCGCATCGCAGAGAGTGACATGACTGTGTGGAGCTAAAGCCAGCGGGGCGACAGCGACAGGTGGAAGTTACTCATGCACAACAGATCTGTGTTAAGTTGTGAAAGAGGAGCAGAACGCCGACGTCTGGTTAGTTGGTGCAAACACCAACGCAGACATTAATGGACGGGCAGAGGACTGAGGCGGCCGACTAATGACTAATGGGGGTCATTGGCTTTTAAAGCGGGACTAGAGGCAGAACTAAAGTGTTTGTCATCTCCGCAGACTCTCGACAGCACAAAGACACCACATCTGTGACGTGTAGGTGAAAGGGTTTTAGCGGACAGTAGTGCAAATTAAAAAAAGATGGAGAGACACGAGGGTCAGATTTCTGTGGCGGCGACCTCGTCAAAGTTTATCTCGTTGCCGCTGCCCTCGTCCTCCTCTCTGCTCTCCAGTTCCTGACTGAGATCCTGCAGGAGCAGCTCCAGCTCTCGGTTCCTGCGATACATCTGCACATAGTTCTGCTGCAGCTGCTTCTGGTAGCGGATCACTTTGTCCTTCTCCTCCTGCCATATCCTGCGCTCCTCCTCGAAGCTTCCCGTCTGCTGCTCGGCCCGCTGATGCTCGAAGGCCAGCTCGGCCCTCATCCTGTCCATCTGCGCCTTCATGTTCTGCAGGGCCTCGGTGCTGCTCTGCCTCTGGGCCTTCGCCTCGTCACTGTCGTAGGTGAGCATGTGCTCCTCTGCTTCCTGGAACACCTGGCACTGTCGGTTCCCTGGTCCCTGACTGGCCAAAACGTCTCTGAGATGAACCAGCTCTCCCTCAAGTCGTCCGACCTTTTCTCGGAGCAGCTCTGCTTCGCTCTTGCGACGCTGAAGCTCGTTCTCACACACCTCCAGCTCCAGCGTCCGTGTGCGGGTTGTGCCGTGAGCCTCCTGGAGCAGGACCTGGGTGTTGGTCAGTTCACCGCGAGCCTCTCGGAGTTGACCTCGCAGGGACACGATCTCCCCCACGCGCTGAGCTAACTCTCCCTGCACATCCTTCAGCTGCTGCTTCAGCAATGAGATTTCCCCCGACTTTTGACAGACCTGAAGGGAGACAAACTAAAACCATCAGCCAAGTAATTAATTAGATGATCAACATAAAATTAAAACTATTTTAAGATTTGGTAAATGTTTGATGGTTCCTGGTTCTAGAATTTAAGAATTTGCTGCTTTTCTTTGTCTTGGACTAAAAACAAAACGAGATATTTAATGAGGTTATCATGAGCTCTGATGTTTCAAACTTCAAACTATTAAAAAAGAAAATTATTGGTTGGTTTTCTAGGTATTAAAATAATTGTTAGTTGTTAGTGCACATATTAAACGGTAATAGAAGTAACAGGCTCCACTTTAACCTAGCAATGTGTAACTTTGGCCACTAGGGGGCTCTCCATCAAAACAAAAACAAAAGTTTAATGACATCGAGAAGCAGTGTGGGATCATGGGAGTTATTTTCACCACAACTGCTGATGAAATCAACCTGACGTGACTCAGGCACAAACACAGAAACAACAGAGATGTCTTCGTGACAGTGATCATGTTTCCGCCGTCAGCTGGAGTCTGTAACAGCTGAATAATTAAAGAAGCTGAGAGATGAAACTGTTGTAGGTGCGTTCTTAGAACCATATACTGTCTCGCTGCTCACCTCCCACTTCGTCTCCTCCAGCCGAGGCCCCAGCTGGATCTTCTCATGCTCGTAGGAGCTGCAGCGCTCCTCGAGCTGCTCCCTCTCCTTTAGGAGCTGTGCAAAGTCCTCCTGCAACTTCTTCTTCTCCTGCTGCAGCTGATAAACCTGCAAACAAAAATGATCTCAATGAACTCAGCAGAGGAAGTAGATGTTTGATTTGGGTAGAGCGTGCACTGATGCATGTTTGAAATATCAATGGACCTTTTATCAGCAGATGTTCTCACCTGTAACTGAAGCACCTGCTGGGCACGCTGGGCCTTCTGCGAGGCCACCTGCATCCTGGTGGCACAGCCCTGCCTCAGCTCCTCCAGCTCCAGTTCAAAACGCTTCTGCTTCTCCTCGTAAACCTGCGAGACGAGAAGACAGAGCAACATCAGACAAGAGACATCATTAAAAGTGTGAATCCATGCGTGTTCACAGTACAGAATAAGGTCTTTGGTATTTCAGTTCCATCTTCCCACCTGACAGATTGCAGCTTCGTTCTCGTCCAGGTTGTCTCTGAGTTGCTGCAGTTCCAGCTCTCGCTCTCTCAGTTTGTCCTCCAGGTCCCTCACCACCCCTTCGTAACAGTCCACAGGGCCGGGGGAGCGCCCGCTGGACCCGCTGTCGGACAGAGGCTGCCCCCGGCCACTTATCGACCCAGAGCCTGTACTCTTACTGGAGGACGAGCGCCCACTGTCAGAGTTGGAATGTCCATGTGCACTGACGGGCGGAGCGCTCTTCATGGGCTCCAGGTGGCCAGCGGACGCCTCTCCTGATGCCAGGCTGTGGCCAGCGCTGCTGTAAGGCGGCAGGCTGGAGAGGGAGTTGCGTCCAGAGTCGGACAGGGAGCAGGACTGACTGCTACCTCCTCCGCCACTGTTACGGGCTCCGCTGTACGAGCTGCGTTTCTCAGAGCAAGAGGGCGACACCTCTCTGTGCGTGGGGCTGAGCATGTTCAGGTTGTTTTGGCTTTCTGATGTGTTGGCACAATGGCGAGGGGAAAGGTATTGCATGGAGTTGCGGCTCTTTGGAATGACAGGTTTGAAGGCAGTGGGCCGCAGCACCGTTTTCTCCATGTTCTGGAAGAGGGAAACAGGGAACAACGCTGAGAAGCAGTTACAACTGAAAAATATTGAATTTATTGACATTATTCATAGTTGAAATTAGTATTAATAAACCCAAGTATTTATTCAAAGACACACCTTCTCAAGTTTTCCTGATATGGGGATCAGTTTCGGAGGAGGACCGTCCATATTCCCATTCAGCCCCGACCCCTCTCTCATCTCATCTGCATCACTTCCTGGACTGACAGGTAAAACAAGGTTCTCATTCCAGTCACCTAAAAAGTCCTCATTCAGATAAGTGAAGTTCCCATTCCCGCTGCTGAACGCTGTGGAGCTCTGTTTCTTGAGCAGAGGTATGTTCTGCAGTAAGGGGTCCTGGGGGGACTCGCTGCCCAGGCAGGAAGCCCCTGGTGTGGGTCGTCGGACTCTTGCTCCCAGTTCGACACCGGAGCGGTGGTCCTGGTACGGGCCGGGCCGTGCGGCTATGAGGCTGCTAACAGAGCCCATGGGATCCAGAGTGGAGGGTGGTGGTGCGTTGACGGGGGGTGAAGGGCCAGAGTGGTGTCGTCTACGGGCTCCTCCACTGAGGCCGGAGCTGTGGGGCTCAGCAGATCTGGGCAGAGCCTGAACCAGCGCCATGGTGGCAGCTCAGAGGGGTCACTCGCTCTGAAAGAGAAAATTGACAATTTTGTTTCTCTGAATTACAGTAAAAGTCGAGACTCAAATCATTCTGGACATTTACATGTCTAATCTAAAGTCAAGTCTCAAGTCCTTCAGGGCAATTTGGACGAATCAACTCAATTCAACTCTAAAGTCAAGTCTCAAGTCCAGATCTAGTCTGACAAATACATGGAAAGTCAAGTCAAAAGTAATTTGAGAGAAGTCCAGATGAAGGCATGAGTCCTTGAGGACAAAGTGTCCCAGTTAAGTCTCAAGAGACAAGTTCAAGTGTTTCCTGTCCTTGTACTAGCAAGAATCAATAACTGGAGACAAACCCAAGTAAAGTAAAGTCCTCAGTCATGTTCCAGAAACTCTCATATCAGACCTCAAGTCATTCAAGATTAGTCCAATTCATGCCTCAATCTCAAGTTTTAGCATTTAGCTCTTCTGAGGTCTAAGTCTCAAGTTTCGTGACAAAGTCTTAAGTCGTTAAAGACAGGCCATAGTTAAGTCTTGGAAAACCAGATCTGAGGTCCTTCAGAACAGGTGACCTCCCACATCACTAATAATCAAACTGCTGCATTAACATTTTCCAGTCAAAGCTTTATTAACAGTGTTTTTTAAATACCAGACCTGCTGCTGTCATATTTACTCAACTGATCTTGGAAACTAAATGATGCATTAGATTCTATTCAAGATACCGATAAGGCCAGAAACAAATGAAATACAGACTGAGGCATACAAGTATCCCACAAGACCATAGTGGCCCACACACAGAGCCAAGCCATTCATTAAACCCATTCAAGCAGCACAAACAGGGCTTGAGGCATTTGGCTCGCGAGGCATGAGGCAGCAGAAGAAAAGGGTCTCTTTTCATTTGAGATGCTAAATGGCTTCTAGCACGCTGGTATTTTCCCTGACAGCAACAAAGGCTACTGTCTCCACACATCTGATCAGCCTCCGCAATAACCAAAAAATCCCAACTGTGGATAATACCTCAAAGAGGAGGCATAGAGGAGAGGAGACAGGTTGGAAACTTTAGCCGTGGGTGATGAAAGCCGCTCAGTTAATCCACAAAATATAGTTGAGAGAACTTGACGAACAAAGTAGGAGGCAAAATAACTTACTGTTTCACTCCCTCACTCTCACAGGACGGCTGGATAAATATTGACACTTTGACTGGCACGTACAACTTATGATATCATTTGATTTGTCCCGTGGACGGTGAACACTGTGCAGAGAACAAGGTTGTGCGGAGAACAATAGGGGAACAGGGCGCATGATGATGAAGTCATGGTGCACTGACAGCAGAGCCAGCAGCGCTCGAAAAACCCAGCACAGCCTGCGAGGACATCCGACTGAGGGGCGTGTCCTGATCTGAACTTTTAAGCACCCACTGTGTCGCTCACAGATTCACAGACGGTATTTATCAAAAATAACTCTTGATCAAAACAATTTGATATATTGACGCAGTATAGAAAAACTTTGGCTTTTGATTCGCACTGAGTTGAGGAAGACAATCCGTGCTGGAGGATAGCGGCTAATAAGGTGAAAGAAGACCTGACCGCAGACATGCTGGTCAGACATCTTTCTAGCCCCCGTCAGCCAGAACACGGCCACGCCAAGTCATTTACCGACCTGCCAAGTTTACTGAAAGCCGACAAGGCTACTACGCCGATTTAACTGTGATTACCAGACGTTAATTAGCAGCAACAAACACTGGCCGGGACCTACTTAGACTCTGAGCGAGACAAATCTGGCACCGCAATGTGTTATGATACGTACAAGCTGTCAAAGTGGAAATAAATCAACAAGCACCAGTATTCAATACCTTAACGTTTATCTTATCTTTTCTCCAAAGCTCCGAACTGATGCATTTCTGTGGTCACAGAGAGAATTATAATCTAAAATCCTTTTCTCGCTCCTCTGTAGGAGAAGCTGGACATTGACAGTAATGACTGAATCATTGCATCAGTGTCTGTCTGGAAGGAAACTTAAGTTAATGGCAGCAGGAGCAACATGTGGTGTTGGGGACGCAGACTTAACGGCCCCGATGAGCGGAGCCAAGACGATTAATCTTGTGTGATTTCTCTATGCGCTGAGAAAAGCTAATTAGCCCGTGACGATATTTATTACACATAATCCGGTCTGAATGGCAGGGAATGAGGCCGACTACGCTAACGTCTGGAGTTTGTTACAAAAATCCTGATACTCAGCAAAAGTGTGGAACCGCAGATTAGGTCCGACCAAACTCTACCGAGCGCTCGTTAACCAGAGTGTTCTACAAATTAAGCTTATTGCTGCATAATATTATTATGTTTGTCTGACCAACAGTCAGAAATACAAAAGATGTTAAGTTTATCGTCATGTATGGAAAAGAAAAACTGTAATTGATAGAAAAAGCAAATATGAAACTTAAAATACGACTGAAATGTTTAATAAATAATCAAAATAGGTTTTTTAGAATTCCTCGCAAATTCATTCATTCACTCATATAAAAACCAAGCAAGGAATTTATACCTTAAATGAATGAATGTAAATTGCAGCTTGTGCCGAGGTCAGAGCGTCTCAAGCACCTGTCTCACACGATCAGTATTTCGTGGGGGATCCATCTGTTGCCCTCCAACTAACTCTCTCCAGATAAGTGAGTAAGCTCTAATCCCTCTGGACTCGAGATGACTGAAACTGTGCAGCGACTGAACTAAGAAGAGCACAAGCCCCCCCCCCCCAATACATTCACGCAAATGACAAGGTTTCTCCTTTGTTGTCATAGCGACCAGGGCTTCGAACATCAGACAGAGTAGGCGGAATAAAGAGGGGAGGTGGGCAGGGGGCAGACGGGGAGGCCAGGACCCGTCCTTTAGCATCTTAAAGCCGCTCTTTAGTGGTGATGACAGTCCGACAGTGAAGTTAAACGGACATTAGCAACTCATGGCCGCTGCACGGATCCATCTCTTTCTCTTGATAGTGACACGTGTTAAATCAACAGTCAACAAAAATGTCAATCAGTCAAACCTCATTCAAAATCACTGGATTATTTGCATCTGCACCAAATGTCACACACACACACATTAATATCAGCCCCCATGAACACGCCTGATGTTTCTCATCGTTAATTAACAATTAGAGCAACGAGCTAAAGCAACAACAATGCATTTACTGAAACAACAGTGCACAGCGTGTAAATGTCCCCGTGATGTCCACAGGGTCAGCTGACTCTCTGTGAGCAGACTGTTTTTGTCTGGGAAAGCCCCTGAAGGTTTTTACGTTGGCCGCCCTCCGTCAGTCGCTCCTCCAGCTGGAGGAATGTGCTGCCATACCAGCGAGTGAGAGTTTAGACTAAACACGGCCACAGCGAGCACCGGTCAGTGTCAGGACGGCCACACTTATTTTAATGACGCCTCATCGCTCACATGCCTCAGTCTGGAGGAGGAGACTTCTCCTGATTCAAGCATTTTGCTTTGTTGCACCAGTAAACAGGTTTTTCCTTTTGATTCAGTTTTATTTGTGTAGCACAAAAAAAAACATTCACGACGTCAATATCTCAAGAGTGACACTATATAATATAATACGTAAATAAATATTTAAAAAAAAGTGAAGCCAATGCATCTCGATCACCCCCTGGTGGCTGGCTGCAGTATAGGACATAAACCCGGTCTCCTCCATGTTAGCAGATAGCAGATGATCAATACATTTTTCTTAAAGATGGTTTCTGTGATTTTAGTTCTTATAACATAATGTATGTTGAAGTGTTTGATTTTGATTTTATAAAAACCACGAGAGTTTGGTCGACCGGTGAATTGAAACTTTTGTGTGTTGATACATTAAGCATTTCTTCGGCCATTAAGCAAACTCACTTCCTTTGCCAGGAGAGAGGAAGGAAAAGTTAGATAAAAACCTTCCTTTCTCGACAGCGAGTCGTTTTTCTTGGGCAGGGACCAGAAATCTATGAGTCTGCATCAATACATTTAAAAACTCTTGTTGAAATTCCAGTCGACTCGATCATTAGAGCTCACAGGGGATAAAATGTGAAACAGGGTCCGCAGCCTGCTCTGATGCACCTCACTCAGATGTTTGGACTCGCTGCAGTCACACTGGTGTTTTCATTCCACACGCAGCAGGAAATCACGAGCGATTCCGATGACATTCATTGACGTGCAGGGCAGCGTTCCATCCGAGGCTGGCGATTAAACAAACACACAGTAACAAAGCTTTTGTTTGACGGCGGCCGTGTTACAGAGATACAGCATCCGAGGTTTACCGGCTCTGTCCTGCAAGACGGCAACGTCACACAAACCTTCTTTGAGACAAACTGAAGGAGCCTGCACTAAATCCTTCTTTGTTAGCACCACGCCATGAACACACATCCACAGCCGCAGAGGGGAGAGTCTATAAATACTCCCCACGCCAGGTGAAGAGTATGTGCTCAGGGGGTGAAACAACAAGAAAGCTGTGTTGTACTGGAGCTCATCTGAGAGCGCCGCCGCCGCCGCCTCTGACTCCACCATGATGTGGACGGAAAGAATAAAAGACAGAATGGACGTAAAGGACAGGGAGTCTCAGTTTTCAGAGGACAGAGTGTGGAGATCCCCTCCTCCACTCTCCATCTCCGTGCCCAAACTTCTGAATCCCACTCTCTCTCTTTCAAACACCCCCTCCCATCTCCTTGTTCTTCCCCCCCTCTCTGGAAAGTGGAACATAGAGGGAGAAGTGTGACATGGCTATTTCAGTTTTGTAGACAACCTACCTTTCCACCGGCAGACACCAGCGTCATTGTGTCAAACGTTCATGATTATTTCACCGTCCATTAACCGTTTAGAGGCTTAAAATAGCAGCATGTGCACAAGGTGACGTCGTGAAAAGACATTTAACAGAAATGAACAGAATTTAT